GGGGGGGGGAGTTGCTTCTGCTTTTAATAAAGAATGAGGAATTAGTGCATATTGATAGGACTTAATAGACCGAGGGGGGTCATCAAACTCGCGACTGAGCGATCCATGGTTAATTTACTATCGGTGTCATGTTATGGGAGGGGGGAGAAGAGGGGGGTGGGGGTATAAGGCGCGCGACGTGACGCCTTAATATATTTTTCAAAAATGTTGAAAAGGCCCCAAATACATAATAGGAAATATACAGGAGGGGGAACAGGTGGAAACGGGAGAGGTTTTTTTTCATAGGAAGGTGACGTTAAATAAAACTTGCAACAGAAATCCTCTTCAACATTAAAACAAAACTTGTTTTAATTCTCTAATAAAACATCCTGATCTGATGAATAGGATTTTGAAGCTCCTCGCTAGCCACTTAATGATTATCTACGTGGCGATAAAAGCGAGAGTTAACTGGTTTCCTGATAATTAAGCAGGTGGGAGGATTTTCGTGAGTGTGTCTCCCGGACGTGGAGCTTCTTCGGAGCCAAATTAAAATAAACTTCTCTCCCTGCGGCCATCGATCCAGCAGAAGAGGTGTGAAATGGACATTAATTTTAGTTCACTTCTCGCTGCGCAAAGGAGGGGAGCATGGAGAGATCAATGGCGGGCAATAACAGCTGACTGCTGAGAGGGGGGGAGAGAGAGAGAAGGGGGTGGAATTGGTGGAGGGGGGTGAATCGAAAACGCTGACAAATAAATCATCTTTTGCTACTTTAACTCCAACCACGACACTTTTCCCCCCCTCTTTACGCCTATACAGACTACTCCTTTGGGAAGGTTAGAGAAAGAGATGAGGCCTAAATGACGAAGTGAGGAAAACACAGACATGGGGAGAATTAATCAAATATAGAGGGTTGAATTGGTTGAGAAAACAAATGTGCATTATGCCTCGTTTGGTAGGCTATACTTGAATGTGTCAAACCATTACAAACATAATATTATAATTGAAAATGGGCATCCTTATTGTGATTTATATCTGTGTAATCCCAAGGCTCCAAATACATAATTAATAATACCGAACAGACTGTAACGCGAACGGAAAGCTCATATTTAAACATTCATAAAATCAAAAATCAGACTTCTACAACCTATCAAAGAAAAATATCAAGCTGTTCTAATCGCGTTTAAATGTGGAGATGAAACAAGCGGCGGCCTGTAAATCACTAACATAAAATAGATAAACTGAAAAAGTGTTACATCACTCTAGATTACAGTAAAACCTTAAAACATGCTTAAATAAATCGAAATATAATCATGCGTATGAGGAAAGAATCAGGCTTGAATTTGTTTTAATTAATAATAAACAGCGTCCTATTTAAATGCTCGTTTAAATACATTTTAAGCAATGGGCCAAAAATCTATCCTTCAAATCCGATTTGTTATCATTAACATATCATTAAATACATAGCAACTAAATATCAATTTATAAAACCGTGTGCAAACATTACAAATATATATGAAATAAAGCTATACTCTGCATTACATTAATCATCTAAATTATTGATCCAATAAATGCATAGTGATGTGTGTCATATATAGAGGAATGGGCTGTGTATCATCGCCTTTAATGGAGAAATGCATGTTTCATTTACGGATAATGAGGCTACAGGTGCTCGCCTTACTTCATCATCAGGTGTTAATAAGAAATGTGCAAAACATAAACTTCCCGGAAACCAATCGCCATGTATTTACTGTATTTGATTAAATTAAAATGTGGACATTTTGTTCCTGTAATTTATCCATTCCCGTCTAATTTCCCACTTTTAAAGATAATTATGGCTCGCTAATGTGGGTTTGTAAGAAAGGAAAGGGCTCGGCTGGTCCTTAGAAGTGAAGGGTTGGTTGATCTGACCAATCAATATAATCAATTGGAAATCATTAATCGCAAGGAGGTTCACTGAATCTGGGATTTGGAGTTTGGGATTTTTCAGGAACTATAATTCAATCTTCACAGTGTGAGTTCAATGACCCGCCTCTAAAAGTGTGTTTTTACGCGCTATTTATTGCTGGCAATGAGAGGACTTTTCAACTTGAAAATTACTACTAATAGGTCCGCTGCGTTTTTCCCACACTTGACATTTTATTATTCCCTGGTCTGGGTGTTTTGTGTGGCAGTGCGCGTTGATCCGGGCGAGACTGCTCACTTGTTTGCAGTGAGGTCGTTCCAAAACCAAACCAAAAATAAATATAAAAAAAACGACATGCATGCGAGAAAGACATGTTGAACACACAAGTAGAGAACTAAAACAGGTAACATAAATAGTGGGAAAATGTGTCTATGAAAGATCAGAAGTTATCAGTCAAACTGACAAAAGAAATAAAAAGAAAGTCGATTTCATCCACGATTTTCATTGTATACAGTAGCCTACACCCGTAACACCGAAGAAGAACTTCCTTAACAACAAAAAAAGATACAAAAACCAAAACGAATGTCATGCCATGACTATTTGAAAATAAAAAGAGGAAATATATACCTACAAATGAAAGAAAAAAACTCTTATTATAAAGGCGTGAGAATTTCATTGTTTTTATAATTATTCTGTTAAAATAAATAATCCAGTCTTCACGGTAGAATGCCGAAAAGGTAAATGAAAAGTGGATGTTGTATCCGGTGGATCGACGCAGCAGCAGCGGGACTTGGCGCTCCGGGAAGCCGATTTTGGCTCACTGTGCTCGGCCATGAAGCTGGAAGGCCCCCGGGACTTCCGCTGGCTGGGCGCTGCTTATTTAGGGGGAGCATGTAAATTATAGTGGCTCCCTAGTTAACAGGTGTTTCCCAACTGTGTGCAGACTTTTGTGTGTGTGTGTGTGTGCGTGCACGCGCATGCTACGCAGCGAGTCGTCTTTTTTTTTAAATTGAAGCCGTCTGTTTATCTTTGAGACAAACTGAGAATAATTTGTTTTTGCATTTAAGGACTTGATTTCTCACGCTTATGGGCGGAGGTTTTTCTGTACAAAAACGTTTGTATTCTTTTCCCTTCTACTTTCCATTTTTGTTCTTTTTCACAATGCTTTAGTAGGCCTAATTGCATTTTTTAATTTTAATTAGCCTACTACAGTCACAGTTGGATGAAGAAAAGTAGACCCGGGAATAAAACACACATTCGTTTATGAAAATGATATCAGCATGGTTGGGGTCCATTGTAACTGATTCATTTAAATCAGGCTCATCAGAAGCTTTATAGACCCCAGATATCAGGGCCATAATGCGGTTTAAGCCTCATGTCCTCACCCTTATGGGCACTTTATTGCTGCAAAGCAATAGTAACTTTCACTGAAAACCAGCGATGGAATTATACAGGCAGCTATAACCACTATAGCCTTCATGTAAACAACTACAACTAAAACTCAACTGTTAAATAAAAACAATCAGTGCAGGCCTGCCGACTAACGTTCATTTGTCAGGAGCAGCATATTGAGAATGATTTGGTAGCTCTGCGACAGTAATACATATTATTTTCCCTGAGGCTTTGATTCAATTTGTAATTATTGTGCGTTAATGTTTGAGAATAATTTGCGGATCTAATCATTAATTCTGAAATATATAACTCTCCTTCATCATAAGTCATATCAAGATGAATATGAAGAGTTGTAGTTTAAATATCGGTTGCAGAGTGTGGCCGTGCAGGACCTGTAATGTAATATCGCTTGTTAATCTGTGTTAATGGTAATGACACACGCACTACTGAACAATTCAAGTGCGTGTCAAGAAACCACTTTCTTGTTTGGGAACGTCTAATAAACACGCACACGCGTGCATACCACTCCAGAGACATAGACTTATGTAAACGTACACGCACAGAGGCATGAAAGTCCGAGTCCAAACGCAGACAGACCGTTCCGTGACTTTTTCTAATTATGTATATGTAAACGCGTGGAAACGCCACCGCGAGCAGCGACCAAAGCGTAAAATCCCGGAGAAAGTTTATTGAGAGGACTCGAAATCTGCTTCCAAACCAGAAAGAAGCCGCGGGACGCAAGCAAGGTGTGGAAACACAAACCGTAAGAGCTTCAAACCAAACCAAACAACAACAACAAAAAGCCAGTCAGTGTTACTCACCTCGCCGTGGCAGAATCCGCTTCTTTACCAGACGACTCCTCCGTTTCCGGCTTCTTCTTTTTTTATCCTCACAACAAACCGAAAACTTTTTTCTGCGGGGTGGGAATATCAGTAGCAGTGGCCCTTCTGGCTCTTGCGCAGCAACACCGGAGATAACGGGAGGCGCTTTGTGGAAGCAAAAGTAGTTAACACCTCCCTGTTAGGTTACCAAAGCGCAGCCAGAGAGGAGGACAGAGAGAGAGCGAGGGAGGGAGTGAGAGAGAGAGGCTGACTTTCCACAAACACAGTGTAAAGTGGGTATCAATAGCGCGATCGCGCGTGCAGCCCCTCCGCTGGAACACCGAGAGGGACGATCAGTGAGGAGAGGGGAGTGAAGCCGGGGAGGGAGGCAGGACCGCAGAGATGGTGGCAGGCAGTGGTGGCGGTGGTGTGAGGGGAGCAGGAGGAGGAGGGGGGAGTGGGGGTCTCACAGTGCTCAACGGCGACGTGTGTGAGGCTGGGAGCCGGGCTGCGCGAGGCTGAGCTGGGAGTGTGGGGGTGGAGGGGGAGGGAGGGGTGTCCAGGGTCCAGAGCGTCTCGAGGTTCAGTGCTGCCGCGCAGCGCTCGGGTCGCTCACTGACGAAAGACAAGCACACGGGAACACACAATATCGCTAAATTTATTATCTAACAATACACTTTTTAGTTTTCTATTACAAAATCTTAATCTAGCTTTAAAACTGACCACACAGAGGGACACAACCTTCAGACACCACTCTGTTTCCTGTCCTGCGTGAGATCAAGGGACCGGACAGTGTTCATGGGTGTAAGATAATGTCAGCTGTGACAATATTTCTGCTATTACAGTCAAAAATACATAACATGTGTCTTTATTCTTGTAGTTCCAACGAAAAAGAGACATAACGAGGAGAATTGATCAGAGGATACATTTCATTTTTAGTGTTATTATTTTTTGTATCCATGTGCATGTGTGGACACCCCACCCTCCTGCCTCTCCCCTGTTTCTGCTGGTTCGTTCCCCTGGGTGATTTCCACTGCGCTTTGTGCGCAAAGTGAATGAATTATCCCCCTACTCTCTCTCTCACACTCTCGCTCTCCCTCCCTCTCTTTCTCTTTCACCCGTTAGAGAGACTGCTTGCCATAAAGCCAATGAAGTCCACCTCTTAAGAAAAAGATGTGGACTAGACACTCTTATAAAGTGCGCACTAGAGACTGAAGTTAGTCACACAGAGGGAAGTTCACTAAACCGGCAGCTGTGTGGCAAAGTCCCCTGGCGTTGATTAACCAAAACTTCAAAGATATTTTCAAATAAAGCATGATGGGAAAGGTTGGCACAAAGAATAGTGAGCTGTTTCATTTTGAGAAATTCTTCAAACTTCATCTTCAGAATTTATTTATTTTTCAAACCGGTGTTGTTTAAAAAAGAAAAGAAAAAAGAAGACCCCTGGCATCTGGGGTTGGTTGTAATGAAGTTATCTTTTTGAAAGGTATTATTTATATTAATTCAGATAAAAGTGAACTTGCATAACTGTTGTGACTGTACACTCTCTCATAAGTAAAAACAAATTACGAAAAGCTCCTTGAATGCACCTTCTATCATTAATAACATTTTCTGACCACTATTTTAGTCAACAAGGCAAAGTACAGACACAAGTTTTATCCCCAAACTATTAGCCCTGGAATATATCAGATTTTATGGCGTGTTTATAATATAGCTTTTGAGCATAAAGTGTGTCTCTGTGTTTGTGTTGGGGGTCTGTGTGTAAAACTGAGGAAAAGAGAAGCCTCTTAGCCTGTCTTCCTCTCCACTACACCCCCCTGCTGGTCACATGTGGAATTGATAAAACATTACAAACAGCTTAGTACTGTCTTCTTCTGTAGTATATTCCTTTCAGTGTATAACTACTAGTACATAGATGATGGTGAGGGTGGTGCTGTAGTGGCACAATTGTGTTTTTGAGGCTTGGTTTAGACTTGGCCCAGAAAGGATAAAACAACTGATAAATGTTATCTAAAAGGAGCTCATTCATGAGCACAATCAAGCAAATCAGAAAATTAGAACTAAAGTCAAAACTAGTGGTGGGGTGCATGGGCCAAAAGCCTTTTACTGCAATGGAGAGGATACAGAGTGGAGAAAACTTTTCATTTGCTAAACTGGAAGTGGAAACTCCTGCAATGACAGTGTGAATCAATTTCATATAAAAAGAAACAGAAAGTAAGTTAATTGTAGATACATTTGTATTTTCTTTCAGATTGAATATATATAAATACATATAAATAAAGGATATATATATATATTTAATCTGAACGTCGTAGATCTTAAATGCCCCAAAATGAGGTCTCCCTCACACAGTTCATCAGAGGAGACTTTGGATGGTTATCTAATGGAACTTTGATCTGGTTTAACGCTATAATACACCGTTGTTGTAGGTAACAATAGCGTGGGAAAAGTGAAGAGGCTTGAGTGTGTGTGTGGTCTCCATACACATGAGGGGCAGTAGCTGCAGTAGCAGTGCCATTAGTGGTGTGTTGTCTTGCTAATAGGCTCAGTTTGGAGTCAATGGGCTGACTGAGGAAGAGGACCATCCATGTATTAGATCCCTCTCCATTCAAAGTCTAATGCCACTCTCTTTAGCCCCTCCCTCTGATGTTTTTAAATGCTGGCTCTGTGTATTGACTAGGAAGCACTTTGATAGCACCTGTTGCACTGCTGAGGCATCCCAGTCTTAAAGCAAAGGCATTCCCAATGTAGATATCAGAGGGAGAAGGGATACTATGCATTGGCTTATAGGTGTGTAAGATTATAACAGTTTTATTTCCCAATATGTTTAACTGATCAGTCTCTACAACAATGGAAGTAAATGTGATTTGGTTTGTGCCTGCAACATTGAACAATTATCTTAAAAAAGTTTAAAAGGCCTCACTTTTTTTTCAGAATCAGTGTTTTATGAAACTCTATACATTTCACTGTGGACTGCTTTCTATTGAGAGCATGCTCTGTGGATTACCCAGATCAATGCTGAGGCTGACTTTTGTCCTGTGGTAAAAGACACAGCCCTCCCATTCATTTGAATGAGGCTTGTCACAATGAGGGGGTGCCACACCACACTAGTATTTATACTGTCACAATTGCCAACGTTTCAGTGTACACCAGGATACTGGTATATACACTACTCTATGCATAAAATACATTTCAAAACAAGAAAAACCTGGTGTTCACTTTATAACGTATAATCTCAATGCATCTGCTAAAAATCGGACAGTGTTAAGCCTCTTGGGGCAAGGGGCAATATTTGGGGGGTTTCATAGTATCAAGAAAATGGTCAGACGAATATGCTCAGAGAATGCATTTTGGCCAATGGTTTCCTGCTATTGCTCCCAAATAGAATGTTAAATTGCATTCGACCAAAGCTTGACCAAAATGGATTAGTCAGTACTCGGACTGCAAGCGGAAACCAAGATGCCTAGCTAAAGCATGTCCCCATGCCCACAGATTCTGCATTCTTATGGAAACATCTCTATAAAGAGATTATAAAAACAATCTGTAAAAAATGGGCGTTTGCATTTATTTGTTTGGTCAACACAGTCTCATTAAAGGAATTGGCTGCCAATGTTCATACAGTGCTGAACGTGGCCTTGGATATATACAATTAGCAAATGTATCTGTTTATTTCATTCTGAGAATTAAAAAAACTCATTCAAACCTAACTTGTACACTCCTAGATGCAAGTAATGATTGATAAGCCATCTACTATCACACCCAGACCTCCCCTTGCATGAGTGTACAGCATTGTGTGTTAGCAGACACAGGTTAACACAAGGACTCTGTATTTTTCAGCAGATTTCTTAGCTTCCATCTGAACTGAGTCATGTCCTTGTGTTATGAAACCCCTCACATCTCCTCTGAAGTGACATAGCGATAATGAAAAGCCGAGCTGACAGCAGAGGGCCGGGGCTGCCCTCTCACGGCCTGCTTTCACCTTTGCTTGGCCGAGTTTATCCTTAAATTGAATTCCACTTTTTCAAAGATTGAGCCAGGAGGGCTGGACTGAGGCAGGAAGAGTGGAGAGGCTGTTACAAACTGTGGGTTTCTGCTTTATTTGTGTTGCTATTTTCCTTGGCTATCAGGCTTTCTCAGAACACAGCAATTGGGTGGAAAAGTAAGGTTCTTTAGTGAAGCAGTGAAACCGTTTTTTCTCTTTTTTGAGCTTGCTGGTATATGCACAGATAAAGAAAAGGCTTCCTAGCGGGAGGCCCTGGTCTATTTTATGACTTGAACCTGTAATCCTCTGATATTTTAAGGCAGCTCAAACTTGACCCTCCCTACCACCCAGTGACTAAAGTAATACCCTGTTAGGTCCTTCAAACCACGTGGGACTTAATTCCTTAAACAAACCATGTTTGAGTGTGATTTACAGCTAATCCGGACAGGCAACGGTCATTTCTATCTTTCCTTTAATAATTTACGATTGGTGGAATTTATAGCACCCGGCCGTGCATGCCGCCAAATCCATATGTCTGTAATATAATTAGATTTAAGCGCAGCGAGATTATAAATGATGGTGTGATTTGTTCTCTCCCTGTTTTGTCGGGGCATAGCCTTTGAGTGTGTGTGTGTAGCTTGGGGACATGGCTGGCATTTGGCTGCCACGACGCTCTAATTGCTGACGTACACACAGATAGATGGGACCTGATGGTTGGTGTCGCCACTGGAGGGAGGGAGGAAGGAGAAGTGAGGGACGAAAGGGGAGGATGAGGAGACTGAAGCGAAGGGGGATAGCTGACTGGAGGAGATAAAGATGGGGAGGTGAAAAGGAAAGTGGAGCATGGATGGATGGATAGATAGATGGAGAGACAAGTGAGGAGGACAGGTATTGTCTTGTGGCGGGAGGCGCAGCTGCCAGCAGAAACACAGCCAAGCGGTTAACCACACTGAAGGAGCCACATTTAGAGAGAGAGAGAGAGAGAGAGAGAGAGAGAGAAAGAGAGGAGGGACAGAGGCTCAGCCGCATTCATCTCGCTCTCAGATCCGTTGCTCCAGGGAGCTGTTGGAAAATGAAGAATTACATGGCCCTGATCAGATTACATTACAGAACAAGTGATTACATGCGTTTGACTCTTGTACAAAAGAAGGAAAAAAATGAAGGGAGGGAAAGGAAACATACATGATCTGATTAATTATGTAATTACGTGGTATTTGTTCTGGCTATGATACATGGGCAACCATAAGAGGGGAGGTTGATGGGTAATTTCATCAATGTTTCACTGCTTGGCATCTAAACCTGCTTTAATATAAATGTTGACGTTGTCCCAGTCCTCACTTTCAGACTTGACTGCTCTATATT